CCCAGTGTCTGGCACACAGCAGATGCTCAATAAATAGTAGCTGAATGAATGAATTGTGGAACAGTAACATTATCTATGAATACCGACAAGACTTGTGGGAGAATGAGCAAGGAAGAAAGCTTTTATTTTAGGGTAACGAAATTATGAATGGTATTCTTCAGTGGAATTAGAATCACCCCCTTGATCACACGGTTCCTAAGGCAGTGTGCAAGTACAACAAAAGGCCAGAACGAAAGCTGGCCTTGAATCTCATGGAGAGGTTCTTTTCCAAAAGGCAGTGAGCATGTGGTATGCGGTGCCAGGTACACAGTGAGGGCACAAAGTCAAAGATAACAATAACCTTTCTAAGCTCGCCAGACAGGGATAACTCTAGCACTAGCAGCTCTTAGGCAATTCTCAATGTCACTCTGGACATTTCTCATCTCCCTTTAAAAAATACATTTACACACCAGTAAAACACTTACCAGACTTCCAGACTAAAAAGCATGGTGAAGTATGTCAACACATCCACTAACGACCAACTATTTGAAACACAGGAATTTAATCTAGATTCTAGTGAGATAGAGGCACGCAAAGAAACCTGACATCAGATCATAAAAATAGAAATAAGACAGCCGCTCAGCACACAAACATTCAGTGTTACTGGGCCCAGCTTAAAGACACTTGCCCATGAGTAGTAACATGAAAACAACCATTACTTGGTTAATTAGTGAATGTATAAATAACAGTAAAATGTTCTTACATTCAGCTATACCCAGATACAAGAAAGTTAATTTAATAAATACAATTAATCTTTTCCAGATATTATATAAGAATTCAATGCTACTTGAGAGAAAGGATAAATATAAGGTAATTCACCCACAAAAGGGAAAAATGACCCACAGAAGAACTTGGAGAGATTTTCCAGCCACAATTTGCTGAATAGCAAGCACTAGATCTTAAGGCAAATTCAAGCGAGAGGGTGGCAGAACAGTCTTCTGGGGAACATTCTCCCAGCTCTACAGCAATTTGTGAGGCAAGAACTATAGTAAAAACACTCACAATAATCAGTTTATATCTCTAACCCTATTTGAGGAAAACCAGGCTTGAGAAAAGTGAGCAGCACAGTTCAGCAATGAAGTTTAAAAAAATCTAATTCTTTCCTTCAACAGTAAAGACACTTTAGGTGGCATTCATGATCTATTTCATTCCTTTTTACCTATACATCTCAGTCTCCACTCTAGCCCAGAAGGTAACTTCCCGCCCCATGCCTAACTGACCAGTGGAATTCTATCACTCCCACTCCTCTGTCACATCCCATCTTGAGGTTCTCTTATCAACACAAAGCTCAGAGAGCTCACGGCAGCTCCACGGACCAGATCTAGTCCAAAATAGACTCTTTCTTCTCCTTTCTGAAGCCTGGGCGGGGCTCTGAGCAGCAACATCCCACCTTTCCTGCCCACAGCCCTAACAAGCTGCTGAGAGAAGGAGCACACTACTCGGCAGGCACCTCCAGCCCATCATCACCAGTCAAAGCCAGCCTGGGCTCTGTCTGAGGCTGGACCATGGCTGAGCCCCTTCTTGAGAAGCCTGACAGCAAATGCCCCCTGAGATTCAGGGAAGAAGTACCAACAGGATTCGCTGAATGACAAAACTCTTCTAAGTTAACTATACCACATTTTGTAATGAAAAGGGCCTGTTATTACTAGAGAAGGCCTCCCGTACCTACCGTAGCAATAATACTTTATTGTGTAAGTTTCATATAAAGAACAGCATGTAAAAAAGGTAACTTTGCTCATTTTTTAAAGACTCGAATATCACAAAAATATTCGTCAGAGATTGCCCCCTCTTACAACGCAATCCAGCTCATTTGGCAATCATTTCATCTTTCACAACTATTTCATTTGTGTAGGATGATAGCTCATTCTCTAAACAAGGCTTCTGTTTTGCCATTATTTGAATATCAGCAGTTCTCCCTCTACCCCATAACAGGTAAGCATTTTCTCCTTTGTCTATCCTCAGCCCTGAATTTAATTTTTCTGGGCACTTTCTTTTCTTAATTAATGATCTAACTCAAGGACCGGTCACAGAACATGTATAGGAAGTTACCCTCTGATAGTAAGAGCCCTCAATAAACCAAAAGCCCAGTGTCCCAGACAGCTGGGAATTTTCTGCCTAAGAGACTTGAAATCCCAAAAGGTAACAAAAGGTTTAACTTTCTGTTAGTCTATGGCTCACCCATAGGCAACTGCCAGAACACAACAGAATGAATGACACAGATCAGTGGCTAACTGATGCCACTTCTCAAACTCAGCTTTTGCTCAGGGAGAGCTAGCTGTTCATGAGGCTCTAATTTGAAACTACATACACATCACATTTCCTATTAGCCAAATAACACCTAAATCGTATGAAAGAAATATCTCAATAAGTCACGAGTGTGCCAACAGCATGTGATCGGTGAGGGAAAGTAGTGACCTGGGTGACGATTACTGAGCTCCTTTCTCACAGACACATGCAATAGGAGTGAGAGTAGCCAAAGCACCTGTGAACACCATTCTGTAAACACTTCAACTACTTCCTCTTATCTCAAAAAAATTTCAAATACAAAAGTAAAACCAATGCTAGGTTTTAGCCAGCCTGAAAGAGGAAGACTGTGTGGGATTCCTTCCTCCTGTACTCTTGACCAAGCTGTTTCTGCCTGTCGTCCTTGGTCAGATTCCTGAACCACTCAGAATACCACGGAGCCCCCTTACGTGCAGCCAAGCCGCCAGAAGAGCCAGGACCTCGGCTGCCCAGGCCTAGAATGGAAATGGTGTTAACACACTCCTCAGTGAGGGAGGGGAAAAAAAAATCCAGCTTCCTTTTCTACCATCATCTAGAATTTCATGGATTATCTTCCTCTCTGCTTTATTTTCCTTTAACCCTTTCTTGGGGCTTCAACTTTCTTCTTCCTCTCTTTGTTCCTTCATCTCTGTTCCCAGTTCTTTTGGTCCTATTTTTTCCTGATCTTGCAGGCGAGAATAATGCCCTTTTACAACAGTAGAGGATGGATAGCATGGACTAGGGAATCAAGCTCATACCAATAAAGTCAGCGACGTCATCAACAGTCAACAAAATCCACAGTGCCCCCAAATCATTCAATGCCTGCTGTGGATGAACACTGTGATAGGAATGACGGAAGAGACAAGATAAAAAGTAGTTTCTGCCCTCTGTGAAGTGACAATCAGTGAAGAGAACATACAAAAAGACGTGAAAACGTAAAAACGACATCAAGCAGTCAGAAGATTGCACTATATGAGTTAATAAACTTGGGTTGCAACATCTGGGCCCTGGGACCAAAACAGGAGCCAACCACTGTGGTCCAGAAGGGTGCGAGGAGGCTCACTCGGGGAGGGCGCAGGGTAGGCCGAGAGAGCCGTGGGCGCACCAGAGAGCAGGGGGGGCCTCCCCAGGCCACAGTAACACAGCCGAATAAAAAGGAAAGGAGTAAAATGGCCTACTTTATGGATTTCATTACAATTTAAAAAAAAGAAGGAAAGGGCCTGTGCCCCTCAGCTGTCTCTGGCAGTGAGAAAGTCGGCATGGGGGCTTAACAAACTGAGAGTTCCCATACATAGGTGGAAACATCCTGATGAACTTTGCCAACTGATACTGTCCGGAACTACATACCGGACAATTCCTTCTCTAATTTTAAATACCAACACCATGTAAAATGTGGTTAAAGAAAAAGAAACTAGTTGACCAGAGAGGGAGAGGTGGGAATGACGACGGAGGAAGAGATCTGAGATCACTTTTCTACCAGGGAAATGCCCCAGCAACTCTGCTATTGTTATGAGCAGAAATCCCAAACCCCGAGGTTCCAATGGGTCTTCATTCTTCAAGTTTTCTGCTGAGCACGCGAGAGGAAACCTGCCCATTTCTAGAAGTGAGTTGCACAAAATCTTTAGCTTTCAGCTTCTAGCTAGCTGCTAATAAAGCCCTGAGTATCCAAATCCAAGGTATTAGTTAACATTTGCTGATCACCTGGAAAAAAAAAATTCCTGGACTAGTAGGATAAAGCAACTTTTACAGTATAGCACACATTCATTATTTCCATTTCAATACCAACATGAAAATTATTTGGTTGAAATCATGCCAATGTGCTCTTGATCTTCAGTTTTAGCGAACAACAAAATCCATGCAACAGCTCCTGAAAGGAAGTTCAGTGAAAACCGTAAAGTAGGAGAAACGTTCCCACTTTCACACAATGGTCCACATGAGAGGAGAAACATGCTGGGACACTGCCTGAACAACTATAATACTATTCACAGTAAATGGTGTTTTATGCTGTTCGATATTATGTAATACAAAATGTCCATTGTGAGGATAATACCTGGCTTAAGGTGCAAGACACTGAAAACTATACTAGTTTAAGTCTTAAAAATAAGCCACTTGCTAGAATAATCAATTCTGTTACTTACTTACAATTTCAATTTCACACCTCCTCAAATCAATGAAATACAAGCTATGAGAACTTACTTTATTCTTGGTTACTGGTAAAATCTCTTTCAACATCGGACAGTAGTCTCCAGTATATGAAACAAATGAACTCATTAGCCTAGAAGCACCAATTATTCACAGCAAACCGGGAGATCTAAGAGCTTCTCTTAAGAGATTTATCAGTCGCCCACACACTGTTGGGTGATTCTGATGCTTATCCTATGTTACCTCATAAAATTTCATAAGACTTTCTGAAACAACTGTTAATCTACACAGCTCTGCTTCTGTGTATTTCTCATCTACTTCCCCTGAATCCACTCCACCCTGCCTTTCTAATTCCTAGCAGTCTGAGAAGCTGAGGTCCTCTGATATGCACCTAGAAGACAAAGCAAATACCTCAGATGTGTCCAGAGGATGTAACACATAATTCAGTTTGGCTTCAAGCTACAGGCCATTTAACCAGTCCTGAGGAGACTTTAGCAACAGTTCATATTTAGATTTAATTTCAGGGATTACACTTGGGAGTTGACAAAACTGCTCACCTTTAGGACAGAAGCTAAGCTGGTCATGTGCTCATTGAGGGCACCCTCGGACTCTTTGTAGGTCAAGCAGGTGAACTGGTATTCCTCAGGATCGAAGGAGTCGGCCCCCTGCTGCTCCACATCGCTGGCCACTCCCACGTAATAGTCCTCTATGTCACCAGGGTCCTCGTCCTCTTCCTCCTCCTCACAATTTGGGTCATAGTCCTCTTCATTGCTGTCAGACCCCTGGCTATTCATGTCCACAGACATCTTAACATCCAGTCAAGTTGCAGATCAGGAAAGCAGTTTTTTTCCCTCCCCCCAAACTTCACCACTTTTTCAAACTCATTAGTGTTTTTGTCTTCTAAGGGAGGAAAAGAAAAAAATATGTGTTAGCTACTTTCACTGTGAAAAGCTGTAACAGAAACCATTCAAGAACCAAAATGGCACAGCCCTGGTCCTACCCCCACTATGGCCTATTACAACTCTCCTCTCATCCAGGAAATCTCACCTTCATCTACCTGCCTAGGCTTTTCAAAAGGAAACCCTTTCCTGGAGGGGCAGAAGCAGTTAACAATGGTAACTTCACATGAAGGGTCTGGCATGAAAGAGTAAGGCTGTCTGCTCCATGTCAAGGAGTAAAATTCCCATAGAGTTGTCCTTCCTGCTAGGGTCCCTAAGAGAGAAGCACGATCCCACAGCTGCTTACCCAAAGCAGAAGTATCCTAAAGGCTGAGGAGCCAATGTTCAAATTTTCTCAGCCAATCGTGCCCTACTGAGTGGTGACACAGAACAGTTCCATCCCGCTACAATTTCTGGGGAAATAAACCAGTGTTTTACAGACATCGCTCTCAGATATATGGGGAAAAAAGGTGCATGGTAAAGAAAAAATAAAAACCACATAGCTCTCAACATCAACATACCCCTCATGTCTGCAAAGGTAACTGATTTTTCCACTTTAAAGGGTTCTATTAATCCTCTAAAAGAGGTACTTAGAAGCAAAGAAACTGACCCAATAGTGAAGGAAAACTACAGATATACTAGTTTGGCAGGATCAAGCCTAGGAAAAAACAGAATCTACCTAGGGTAAAGAAACAAGATCAAACGGCAACAGCTACTGAAAAATCCTCATATATCAAAATGTGACTCCATGACATATAAATGAAAAGAGAATACTAGTTGAAAAAGTAAAACAGTCACATATCTTAACTCTTAGAGACGATTTTGGCAAATACCCATTAACTTCTCCACACAAGAACTATTTCAAGTGACCGTTTCCAAAGAACAGTATCAAACAGTGATTTAAATCTAAAACTAAGAGGACTTTAAAATACAAGAGCATGTGGACTGAATGGAATGAAATAATTTATATAACCTAATCTGGATTAAACACTAAAGTAAATTTAAAACCTATTTCAAGTAGATAATCTCTCCAAAAAATTAATAATGAGAAAAAGATTAAAATGAATGTCTACTGAATATGTAACCAGTCTAAAGGACTAGAGTCACATTTTAATGATATTATAAAAATATCAGTGAATCTACCTCTGGTATTTTACCTATAAATGCTTAAATTTAAAAAAAAGTCACACTAATGAGAGGGCAGTTTGACTTTTAACAAATTGTGTTATATGCTAGAACCACCTAATCACAACTGAACTGAACTATAGTATTTTTTCTTTAGGGGAAAGAATTAATCTTTAAATTAAAAATACCTGTAATTCTTGAAGATCTTGCAGGAAGATGTCACCTAAATAGTCATTCATATAATTTCATTCATATAATTTCCATCTAAAATGAAAAAAGATAATTCTATTTACATACTGCAAAATTGGTACCCCACATTCACAAATTTTAAAAATAAAGACATTTAAAAGAACAAGGAGCAAAGGACCAGAAATTATTTTCTTATAAGTCCCATAGAAATCCACTTCACAATTATATTGACATGAGTTACATGGCCTTCTAAAAAAAGAAAGTATTTAAAGTAAACAGCTAATAATAATTTAACCCCGGGTACCCAGTTCCCTCTCATTCGTTCCCTCAGTTTGAAAGTCCACCACTTCACTTCTTTTTCTTTAATTTTTATTGGTGTATAGTTGATTTACAGTGCTGTGTACCACCTCGCTCATATTGTTCAGATTTCCTAAATTAACTACTACAATTTCAATCTTAAATATTACATAGAGATTGACAAAGCAAATTTTAACTGACCTGAACTGGGCTTTTACCATAAAGTCATCTCCATTGTCGTACTCTAACACTTATAGAATACTGTCAGTATTTCAGCTCTCACTTTATTCATGAAAAGTTATTTTCAAATAAAAAAAGTCCACAAGAGAAATAAAACAAAAATTAAAAAACAAAAACAGGGGGAGGATGCAATTTCCTAGTGGTCTAGTGGTTAGGGCTTAAAAAAAGAAAAAACAAATGTTCCCAGTACAATGCTCACTAGGCAATATTAACACCCATTTTGTATCTCTCTTCTGACATGCTCAAGGTCTACTTGACTTTCTCAGAGCTACAGATCCCACTATCAAAGGCTAAGTAAGTATCATTCACTTACTTAATCAGAAATTTTAGGTCCATGTTTTTATCCTTTTAAATTTCTTGGAAAACCAGTGATAACTTTCAAAGAAATACTTCTAACACAGACAGGCAAATATAAACTAAATGAAAATCAAAGTCCAAACAATGATTGTGGAAGATGATTTCCAAAATAGTAAAGGAACAATTGATTTCTTGTCTGTTTTCTTTTATCTGCATTTTTACGTGAGATACTGCTTATTAGGCAAATAAGCATAAATAGCATTACAAATACTGCTCCCATCTATAAAATAATCACTACCAAGAACAGCTTTCATTTAATGAGAGCCAATTTCAGGTCAGACTCATTCTCATTAAATGTTTATAACCCTACAAAGTGGCGATCATCCTCTTCTTACAAATGAGCAAACTAGAGTTCAAAAAGATTAAGCAACTTGCCCAGGACCACGGTGCTGACAAACAGTAGAATCCAGCATCATACTTTTCACCAGATCTGTGATCTATGAGGACTCACAATGCCCCCTTCACCCTCCCAAAGAGCCGAATACTATCCAAAGCTACCTACAACCACAACAAAAAAAGCACAGTTTTCACTTTCTCAGGATTTCTTGCCAGGATTGGGGCTTCTCACCAACTAAATATTCAAGAAGCAGGGGAAAACTCCAAGCTCCCTTCCGAAAAGGGGGACATCATTTCATACTTACTGGGTGCTCTAGGTCCAGATTTAAATAAAATCTTAATTACTAATCTTTTCAAAGTTAAATATCCCTATTCTGTTTAAGAGTGCTGACACTGTTTAAAGGGGCCAGTATGTTATTGCTTCATTAACACAACAGATGATAGATAACGCTTTGATTTCTTTCAGATGTTAAACATTAGCCTTACGTCCCAAACAGGCAAGGAGTAACAGAAATTACTGCGCTCCCCTCCCCCCCGCCGCCGCCTCGCGCCCCCCACTCCGCATCAAAGTCTCGTGTTCATAAGAGCTGCCAACCATCCGGGGCTAAGGAATTCAAATGGAAGACTTCTCAGTATAAAGCTGACAAGAACAAGACAACAGACTTTTTGGTATCAACGTTTACTCCAGATATATTTAGCACTGAAGCTCCATTTACTAAATCCACATTTCCGAAGAAAACTAGTTGGTACAAAAATATGAACCCTGTCTGATGGGGTAGCCACTAACCACATGTGGTCATTTACATTTAACTCAAGGATTGAATAAAACTTGACACTTGGATTTTCAGTCGCACTAGCCGTAAGTCAAAGGCTCAATGGCCACGTGTAGCAGCTAGTGGCTATCCTGCTGCATAGCAAAGGTACAGAATAGGACCAGTGTGGCAGAAAGTTCTATGGGACAGGGTAACAATCAGTACTGAGGTGAAGTCATCCTGAGAACCCGATCGCCTCTCCGGCGGCTACCACAAGCGGCGTCCGGTGCGGCGGCGACGCAGTTCCAAGGCCGCCTGTCCCAACCCCGGCGCCGGGATATATCCTCGAGGACACGGAGCCCACGCGCTGGGCCCCCTCACCAGCAGGCGTTAACTAACCACGCGGGGAGCGGAGCACTGCGAGAGCTCCCGAAGATGACCCGAGTGGGGAGCCCCCGGAGGCGCCGCGTTTCCCCGGCACGCCGGGCGGGGAGGGCCTAGATGCGCCCGGCGCCAGTCAGTCAGAGGCACTGGCCTGCGACCTCTCGGCGAACTGCAGGCGGCGGGAGGCGGAAAGACCGAGAGACATCAGGCGCCGGTCCGCCCTGGCCTCGGCCACCGGCAGCTCATCAGCAGGATGGCGGAGGGCCCAGAGACCCAGTACGAGATGCCGGGGGCGCCGGGACCTCGCGGGCAGCGACGAAGGCGGAGCCCCGGCCGGGCTAGGGAGGCGCGCGGAGAGCCCACCCCCTCCCCCGGCCCGCCGGGGTAAACAAGGCCGCTACTCGCGCCCCGCACTTACCGGGAGCCGCGGCCCCGCGGCCGCTGAACCCGGGCGGGCCAGACCGGGTCGGGCCAGGCCAGAAGAACCGGACCCAGGCGCGGCGGCGGCGGAGGCGGCGGGCCAACGCCGGTCAAGGCCCGCGCTGCTTCCTCCGGCGGAGCCGTCGCCGCAGCTCCGGAAGTGCTTGGAGCGGTTGCGTCACTTCCTGCCCGGGGTCGCCCCGCGGTCGCCGGGGTCGCGACAGGCGCTGGGTAATAACGCCTCTCTGCGGACGCTTCACTCCAGCCCAGCGCAGCGACCGGATTACGCCCGCCGCACGGCTGGCGCAGACGGCTAGCAACGGAGAGGCTTCTTGGAGAGCGGTCACGGCATCGCCGCGGGCTTTCACCTACCAGCGCCGCCGGCCCGGATCATTTCAACCAGGGTTTTTGTTGTTTTTTTTTACGGACTCTTCTCAATTCACTGTACTCGGTGTCCGGCGCGAAGACCTCCAGTCGTTTGTGGAGTGTATAAAGGACTCATGTTTCACGGCCGCTGTTTGGTCGAAGGAGAGCTGGGTCTTGGTGTCAGCACGCCGGGCCGGGAATTTCTGCCTAGGTCGATTCGTAGAACCATTTCACGCTTCCGCTTCCCTTTCCGCGGCCTAGTCCGCTGCCTAATTTCTTTGGCTTCCCAGTCACCCGAGATTGAATCTTAACTACCTTGCTGCACAGTTTATTCACACAGTATAGGAAGTGCCGTTATGACTTTCAGTACCTTCTGGGTCAAGTGTTATGGATAGAGACATGAAGCCTTACTTAAGTTGCTGCTGCACAACGTGGAAATGCCGGAGTGAAGCCAGTGATGTTAGGGAGCTTCCTCGCTGTGCAAGTCCGTGGATAACCCAAACCATTTCCACCTATGCATGAGTCGTGTATGTGCTAATATTCGGGATATTGATGTGTAATGGACTCTCTTCAGTTCTTGCATGTATTTGTGTATACATGATTTTCAGCTTCCTGTTTAATTAGAAGCATGTACCCAAATGAGGTGCATTCAAATACTAGAAACCACCCCCCCACCTTAATTTGGAATGAGAACTAATAGTAATGAGTGAGTGACATGTTGTAAGATTGTGAATTTTATGTATTAGCAACGTAAAAGTCTGTCTATAAGTTGCTCAGTTGTCTTCCACTCTTTGCGACTCCATGGACAAGAATATTCTCCAGGCAATAACATTGGGAGGAATCTTCCCAAACCAGAGATCTAACTCAGGTCTCCTGCATTGCAGGCACACTCTTTACCGTCTGAGCCGTCAGGGAAGCCTGTAATTCCATGTACTTATTTGTTATAAGAAAACATAGCCCTTTACATCATGACACTAGTGAAGGATCCAAACTATATTTTCTGCTAATGAAATCTCTTTAATTAGACACATTCGCTCTGGGTTACTGGTAATAAATCCTCCCCAGTAAATAAAAGGGAACAATGAGTTTTTCTGTATAATTAATACATTTGCAAAATAGTGAATGAGGACATTCACATATTAAGCATACAAATGTACAATATATTGGAATCCCAGGTACTATCCTTATTTGTTCTCCTGTCTCTCCCCTGCTGAAGGTGAGTTTCTTTTTTAAAAATATTTATTTGGCTGCACTGGATCTTAGTTGCAGCACACAGGACCTGTAGTTGCAGCATGTGGGATCTAGTTCCCTGACCAGGAATCGAACCTGGGCCCCTGGATTGGGAGCACAGAGTCTTAGCCACTGGACTACCAAGAAAGTCCCAAGGTGAGTTTCTTAAGGTCACATATCCATCCTTGTTTTCAACATTACTCTATTAAATAGATGTTTATTAAGCTGTTGCTAATACCATTTTTTTTTTCTTTTGGCTGTGCTTGGGTGTCTGGGATATACTCTTCAAAAAATTTTTTTTAAAATTTTTGGTGGCCCTGGGTCTTCATTGCTTTGCTTGGGCTTTCTCTAGTTGCAGGGAGTGGGAACTACTCTCATTTTGGTGCTTGGGTTTCTCTTTGCGGTGGCTTCTTTTGTGGAGCAAAAATCTAGGTGCATGGGCTTCAGTAGTTACAGCTTACAGGCTTAGTTGCTCGAAGCACGTGGAATCTTCCCGGACCAGGATGGAATCTGTGTCCGCTACATTGGCAGGAAGATTCTTAGCCACTGTACCACCAGGGAAGTCCTGTAATATACTCTTAAGTGATAAAAATAGGATATGAAATGATATGTGTAGTATTCTGTCTTCAAAATAAATTTGCATATAAAATATGTAAACAAAATACAATGTCTCTCAGTTTCTGTGTCACAGAATCATTCCCTGTAGTGGGAATGATTGGTCTTAGCTCCTTGAAGTCTGGGGCCTCATCTAAAAGGCTCTTATTTCTTCACCAATATCATACAACTTTTCTTCTGTATAAATCTTAGATTCAGGTTGATGTGTTTTCATTTTTGAAAATCCACTGGAGAACATTGAATTTCTAAGAATAACTTAAAGGGTAGCACTGATAGCCTCATTATTGAGTCTTTGCATCCAAGGAATATACTATTTCTTTATACTTTTTTTGTTTGCCTTTTGTGTATTTGAATTTATATAGCCTTATTCACATGGATCTTTGGTTTAGTCCTGCATACATTGTGGGTTTTGCTGTTATTCTGAATAGGATTGACTCTTCCTGTTTGTGATCTGTTATTGTTAACATTGTCAACAAAGGTTCATCTAGTCAAGGATATGGTTTTTCCAGTGGTCATGTATGGATGTGAGAGTTGGACTATAAAGAAAGCTGAGCGCTGAAGAATTGATGCTTTTGAACTGTGGTGTTGTAGAAGACTCTTGAGAGTCCTTGGACTGCAAGAAGATCCAACCAATCCATCCTAAAGGAGATCAGTCCTGGGTGTTCATTGGTAGAACTGATGTTAAAGCTGAAACTCCAATACTCTGGCCACCTGATGCAGAGAGCTGACTCATTTGAAAAGACTCTGATGCTGGGAAAGATTGAGGGCAGGAGGAGAGGGGGACGACAGAGGATGAGATGGTTGGATGGCATCACCGACTCAATGGACATGGGTTTGGGTGGACTCCGGGAGTTGGTGATGGACAGGAAGGCCTGGTGTGCTGCAGTTCATGGGGCTGCAAAGAGTCTGACACAACTGAGCGACTGAACTGAACTGAACTGATCAAAAAGTGATTGCTTTCTGATACTGTTCTTGTATCTGTCTCCTTACTTAAATTTGCTCATTAGTTTTCAACTGATTCTCTTGAATTTTCAAAGTAAGCATTTGGATCACTTGAAAATAGGAATATTTTGGACTCTTAGTTTTGGGTTTTTTTTTTTTTGGTTTGATCAGAGATCAAACCCACACCCCCTGCTGTGGAAAAACAGTCTTAACCACTGGACTGCCAGGGAAGTTCCAAGGACTCTTGCTTTTTAATATTTAAATTTCTTTCCTTTTCTTTTCTCCCTCTTTCCCCCCACCCCCCCACACTCTTCTTTCTTTCTTCCCTACGGGCTTTCCTGGTGGCTCAGCTAATAAAATGCCTGCAGTGCGGGAGACATGGGTTCGATCCCTGGGTTGGGAATATCCCCTGGAGAAGGGAAAGTTTACTCACTCCAGTACTCTGGGCTGAAGAATTCCCTGAACTGTATAGTCCATGGGGGTCACAAAGAGTCAGACACAACTGAGCAACTTTCACTTTCTTTCACTTCCTCCTTAGTTTGCTATTTCTTTCCCTTCCTCCCTATTGCTATTTTTGGATTAGCTGCTAAGTCCAGTAAAACGTTAAGCAGTAATCATGATTAAAAAAATCTCTACTTGTTTTCCCATCATTAATAGGATACCTTCTAATAGTTCACCATTAAATTGTTTTGCTGAGAAAAAAATATGGTAGTTAATAGTTTGCTTTAAAAAAAAAGTAGTTACTCTTTATCTATCACAAGGGAGTTTGCTTCAAATCTTAAATTTACAGTTTTATGT